TTCAAGGTGTGAACTCTATGGGACAACATGTTACAAGTATAAAATCTTCTGAGGTGGTAACACAGATAAAACCCCAAGGTGTGACAGCGGTGGACCTCAATTCTGGACCAAGGACACAAAATAAAAAGCCGTCTGAGTTGGCTCAAGGGCAAAGGCTCCTAGCTAAGGAGTCTGTAGAGTTTAATCAAGGCCCAAAGTTACAAGGTGTGACAGTGGAGTCCAAGCCCCCAAATGGGGAATCTGGGAAGTTAAACTCAGGCCCTCAATTACAAGATGAGAAACATTCTCAGTCAATTCTAAGAACAAAGCATCAATATGGAAGATCTATGGAGGTCAGTCCTGGCCTATGCTCACAGGGTATGAAGTCTTCCGAAGTGATTTCAGGGGACAAACTTCAAAAAGAGAAACCCGTAGGCTTTGTGTATCAGCCACTGTGGCAAGATGTAAAATCTTTAAAATGGACATTCAGTAAGGCACTTGACAGGGAACCTTTGCAGTTGGAAACTGCTCATTTACAGGACAGGAAATTAACTATGTTAACACCAGAATTACATCTTCAAGGTATGAAACCTGAGTTGGTCAACTGTGGATCAAAGTTGAAAGGTGTGAAGTCTGAGCCCACATATGTCCAGACAGTAAAGGATACAGGGATCAATCATGGTGCCGAATCACAGTTTGTGGGATTCTCTAAGCAGGCCTCAGACTCAAAGGTTTATAGAGTGGTGCCTTCTGAATTCAATGCCAGAAACCAGAAGCAAGATAGGAAGTCTCACAAATTAAGTCAAAAGCATCAACTTCAAAAAATAAAACAAATAGCGTTCAGGGATGAGCCACATTTGCAACATATCAAGTCATCAGAATTATGTACAAAGCTTCAAGACCTGAAATCTATGGAATTCAATTCAGAGCAACAGTTGCAAGATGTGATGTCCTCTGAATTGGGCCTGGGAACAAGTCCTCAGTCTTTAGAGTTCAACCCTGGGCCACAGTTGCAAGAGATAAAATCTTCTGAGGTATGTACAGAAACCAAGCTGCCAGATGAGCCGTCTCCGGAATTCAAGCATAAGCCTACATTGCAAGATAGGGCATCCTGCGACCTGAGTACAGGGCCACAGATTCACTGTAAAAATGTTATGGCATCCAACACCAGAACACAAAATGTAGAATTGTCTGAGTTGCACCCTGGTCCAGACCTTCAAGGTATAAAATCTAAGGTGTTCTGCCTGGGGCAGCACTTGGAAGATGTGAATTCTACATGCACTCCTAATGCAAATTCTCAATATGTAAACTCCAGTGGGTGTAAATGTGGGCCATATTTGCAAGATATGAATTCCTCTGCATGCATTCCAGAGCCAGACCGTCAATGTATAAAGTCTATGTGCAATCCTGGGCCACATTTGCATGGAATGAATTCTGCATGCATTTTAGGACCAAAATTGCAATGTGTAGATACTACTGGATGCATCTATGAGCCAAACTGGCAAGATGTAAATTCTTCTGTATGCACCCCAGGGCCAAGTCCTCAGTATGTGAATTCTTCTGCATACACCCCAGGGACAAGTCCTCAGTGTGTTAATTCTGCATGCACCCCAGGGCCAAGTCCTCAGTGTGTGAATTCTTCTGTATGCACCCCAGGGCCAAGTGCTCAGTGTGTGAATTCTTCTGTAGGCACCCCAGGGCCAAGTCCTCAGTGTATGAGTTCTTTTGCATGCACCCCAGGGCCAAGTCCTCAGTTTGTGAATTCTTCTGTATGCACCCCGGGGCCAAGTGCTCAGTGTGTGAATTCTTCTGTATGCACCCCAGGGCCAAGTCCTCAGTGTGTGAATTCTTCTGTATGCACCCCAAGACCAAGTCTTCAGTGTGTGAATTCTTCTGTATGCACCCCAGTGCTAAGATCTCAGTGTGTGAATTCTTCTGCATGTTCCCCAGGGCCAAGTCCTCCTTGTGTGAATTCCACTGAGTGCCACTCTAAAGCACATTTACAAGGTGTGAATCAATGGGCATCAATTCTAGGGCCACACATTCAGTGTGTAGGTTCTATTGGGTGCAATCCTAAATCACATTATCAAGGTGTGAATCCTTCCTCACCCACTCCAGGGCCAAACCCTCAGTGTGAACATTCCAATAGGTGTAGTCTTGAGCCACTTCTTCTTGGTATGAATCATGGTACAACATTTCCAGCACCACAAATTATGTGTGTAAATCCTGTTTGGTGCAATACCAAAACACATTTGCAAGATGTGGATTCTTCTGCCTGTACTGGAAGACAAGAGTCACAGTCTGTAAATTCTACCGGATACAACCCTGGGCCACATTTACAAGCACCAAAACTTCAAGGTATGAAGTTTTCTGAGTCGAACTCAAGGACAGGAATTCAAAGAGACATGCCTAGAATAGTTAGCAAAGGTCAACACGTGCAAGACCTGAAGTTTGAATCAACTCCAGGGTCAAATATTATACATGTAGCACCTGTAGAATACAACCCTGGGCCACAGGTACAGAGTGTGAATTTTTCTGAATTGAATCCAGGATTAAAATTACAATGCATAAATCCAGCAAAGCATAGTTCAGGGCCACAGTGGCAAAACATGAAGTCCTTTGAGTTGACCCCTGGACCAGAATCTCAATGTCCAAAGTCTGTTCTGTTGAACTCTGGACCACCTTTCCAAGGTGTGATGTCATCTCACTTAATGGTAGGGGAAGAGTTTCCAGACATCCCATTTTTGAAGAACCAACTTGGGTTGTGGCAGGACACTGAACAACCTGTGTTTACCTTGAGGCCTCCGTCAAATGGTGTGAAATCTGTGGGAGTTTCACCAACCCCACTGCCTGAAGATAGAATGTCTCCAGAGATGAGCAAACAGCCCTTGCTTTGTTTGACAAATTCTGTAAAAGTGACACCTGGCTGCAGTCTGCAGGACTTGAGAAGTAAGGAATTTTCACCAGAACCTTGTTTCCAAAAAGTTAAATCTGTGAAGTTGAAGCCAGGCTCACCGACTCCAAGTGT